ATTTCATCTTCTGAATATTCCTTTTTATGTAAATGCAGTTGGGTGTTGTGTGGTTCATTGTTTCACTGTAACACTGATAAATGTAAAGCAGAGCTATATTTTGGGTCCATTTAAGGAATCTTTGAAATCAGTATTTTACTTAATCTGACCGGATGGGCTAGATTAGAGTGTCACCATCACTTAGTGGACCATAGTGGAGCTCACTGAAAATATTGGCATGCATGCTAGTAATATCCACCTAACAAAGCCTCTCTGTCAACAAGGTTTACGAATCGCTTTTGTTATACACTGTACCTGCGCCATCGTACGCTTTTATCACAGCATATCAAAAATACCAGAATGACTGGCGAATTACATCTGAATTAGATGTTGCCATTCTTCTTTATTGTTGTAGAAGTGTTTCCTCCATGAACTCTGCGAAATGGGGTTACCTATCCCATCACATCAGAGCTCAAATGGAGACATATAAACATATAATCAAAACCCTGAATAAAGGCTGGCGCGCAATGCATAAAAACAGTCAGCTGCTTATTGCAAGTGTAGCGGAGCCAAGCAGATGGCTTGGCCTCTTCTGGAAACACCAAATAGGAACATTCCAGTATATTTATGACCTGTTACACAAACTCCCTGGAGCACACACACAAAGTCTTTCTTTTTGCTTTGTTATATGGTCATGTTATCTTCAAGATGGTTTTTTGACAGCACAGCGCAATTTGCCTGATGTTTCCAGAATGGACATGAAATTTATTTGCGGCGCTTTTATTAGATTTTTTTTAATAGCTATCAAATTAGCAGTGTTGAGGAAACTACTTTGGAACTGCAACTTGTTAAGATGCTCATGAAGTAGTTAAACTACAGCCAAGCTACACTTAGAGTAATAGTAATGCTAGTTAACTAAAAATAGCTTTTTGAGAAGAGAAAAAAAATCTTTCTGGAAGTATAATTGTCAGATGGTACTGCTTATTTCTGCAGTTAGCCCATTCATCTGGGATAAGACTCGAGAACTAACTAATAAAACTAGAAAATGCGTTTATATAACAGAGCCGAATACATTGTTTAAATAAATATTTCGGTTTTAAATGAATTGGTGAATCATTTAAATGAATCAGTGAATTGTTTGTTTAAATCAGCGAATTGTTTAAATAAATCAGTGAATCGTTTATTTAATCAGTGAATCGTTTATTTACATGAACCATGTGAATGAACTGATTCACCAAATTAAAACCGATTTCCCAATGCAACATACGAGAGAGAGGACAAAGTTCACTCTGCTGATGAAAAAAACAGCGATGGAGCCAGTTGTCATGCTACACCGCCGCTTATTGGTAAATCAACACTGTTTTGAAACAGCTGATGTGCAGTGGTCAAGTTAGTAGCATGCTGTTTTTAGTTATTTACACTCTAACGGTGCAATAGAATCAAGGACCTATTGTGTTTTTGTTAGCCTCAAGACCCGATTTCTGTTTGCGTTTGCAGAAATGTGTGATTATAACAAATATTGGGTACAACAGTGGATGAAATAGTAGTGGACTTCGCCTCTTCGTCGCCTACACTCTGTCAACATGTCTCGTGATTCTCATGTCCAAGAGAAAAGAAAAGAAAACCTTGGGAACCTTCTGAAAAGACAGATAATCGCTCAAACCAGTTGCTCCTTTACTAGCAGTATGTCACCAGACTAACCTGATCTCCAAACCTTTGTATGGCAGTTGTTAGCAAAGTTGTACTAGTATCTGCAACGGGAGCCAGAAGACTGCGGCTTTCCTCTGGAACTTCCACACAGAGACTCCACTGTGCTCAGGACAGCTCATCCAGAAGAACGATCAGGTTCTAGTGGTGCAGCGGCTTGGCCTGCTTTCTCCAAGCCTTGTTCAACGTCACCTTGCTTCAGCGAACACGCTCTGAAAGCTCCAAAGCACCTTGATGCCGCTTTCCTGGCACATGTAGATGGCATGTCATATTCCATAAGCCCCCATAATAACTCTTCAATTACCTTCCTGTATTGTGTGTCTTGGGCAATGCTCTGTGGTGTCAAGGGGGGGGCCGAGGGAGGTCTTTCCACAATGCTGTGTTATTACTCATTTAAAGACATTGGTGTTGGCATAGTCTGTGGTACATCTGTTCTGCAGGGCAGAGGCGCAGCTTTTCCCTTTTTTTTGATCAAGTCAAGATGGTTAACGGTAACCGATCCCAGCCGCCACGCTGCCAGTGCGCAATACACCGGCGGCGGCCACGTAAACAGGAAAACTCGCGCTCTGACGCTTGTTGGGGCCGAGCGACCGCAGCATCTAGGCCTGTTGGTGCGACACTTCTCAGAAATGAAAACGGCTCGAATGCTCTTTTAATTGATTTATTCCTTCCTTTTAGTGCTTTGTGTTCCTGCGGGTTTCCATGCCACAGCAAATGGAGGAGGCAAAAGGATAATGAGAAAAATCCCAGAGCTCAAACACAAACATACTGCCTTTCATTTGCAGCACAGCTTGATCTGTGGAGATCAGTCCTGCTCACTTTTGTTGTCATTTATAATAAGCTAGACCGCTTTTGGCTCTTCTCATTGACCCTTCTGTTTGTACTTGACTGCTTGTATGTGTACAAAAGAAGATAAAACTCTTAAACACTTTGAGGAAGAGGTCTTTGATTCTACTTGTGGCCTGATAATATTAGTTGGTATTTCATTTTATCTTTTTAATATACAGTATTTTCCTAATTAAAATATATTAAAATATAGTTGCATTTTCAAATTTATATAAATTTAAATATATGCAATCAGACTGTGATCTGATTTCATCAGTCATACATAATGCAATTTTATTATATTTTATTTTGTTTTGTTTTGACCCATTCCTAATTATACACTCTTAAAAATAAAGGTGCTTAAAAGGTTCTTCACAGCGATGCCACAGAATAACCATTTTTGGTTCCACAAAGAACCATTCAGTCAAAGGTTCTTTAAAGAATGATCTCTTTCTTACCTTTTTATAATCTGAAGTAGAGGTCGACCCCAATCGGTCGGCCGATTAATCGGCTGATTTTTGTCATTTTTTAATTAATCGGCATCGGCTGATTGTGCTGCAAATTAGGCCGATTTATAGGCAGGCGCCACTGCGGGCAGCTAAGCGTTGCGGAACTCCCTCTGAGGCTGCGTGAGACAGAGCAGCTCACACTCTGGCTTGTTCACACACAGCTTCAGCTAATGGCAGGGCAAAACAGACCGTTTCGAAAACGGAATTTACGTTTTACCCTACTATAATTGATGCCGGAAAGTTATCATATTCATAAGTGCAACAAGTCCATTTGCATGTGAAAGTAGAAACACGTTCAATTCAGACGAAACTTCTGGGCTGATTATAACGTGCACGTTAACTTTCCTCATGAAATGTGTGTGTGGGTCCGACAATAGCATCCACGATGTCATCGCTTGAGGCCAGCGCACTCTTAAGCAGTTATGAGCAGCAGGCTGTGCAATATGTGTGAAATCTTTTATTTTTGTTATCACTATGGCCATTTGACTTATAACAGGGTCCAGCGTTTCCCATACATTGAGTTATTTGTGGCGGCTCGTCACAACCATAAATAGATTTCCCAAAAGGCTTATACTTCGTTGAATAAACAGAGCACTGCACGTTTCAAAATTAAAATGCAGCGCGGGTGTTTTTATATGAATGTATCTTTGAAAAGAACCG